CTTCCTGCCTGCAGAAGACAGAGTCCCGGCCCAGGACCACATCTAGCCACCCACCATGCTGGCAAGAGAGGTCAGGGAGACAGCTGCGGGCAGGGTAGCTAGGGGAAAAGACACCCTCTTCAAAGGGGGTTAGAAAGAGAAAAGGGGCCAGAGACAGGAGAGAGACATGAGGGCTACGGAGAGGCACAGGGTGGGAAATACAGTCATGTGCTGCATAAGGGTGGATCAGTCAAGCATGGACCGCTTAGACGACAGTGACCCCACAGGACTGTCATAGCAGGGCTGGGCAGGGGTGCAGTGGTAATGCAAGGCCGACCCATGTGGGGAGGTTCTGGGTTTGTGTGCAGAGACTTCCCTGAATCTACCACTGCACGTGTGCCCATGATCCAGGGCTGGCTAACGTGGGTGTGGATCATGTCACCAAGACCCTGCTGGAGTGCTTCTCTCTCTTCCCCACTCATGGAAGAAATCTTTTTTCTTTTTTTAAAAATATTTATTTTAATTTTATTTATTCATTCATTCTTTTAAGAATTTGACCAGAGAGACATAGATAGAAAGAGAGAGAGAGAGAAAGGGAAAGCAAAAAAGCAAGCCACCAGGTCTGGGACTCGAACCATGGTCGGCCATGTGTGAGTGTCCAGTGCCGTAGCCACCACACCACCTGCTGGTCCCTGTTAGAAATAAATTTTCTAAAAGTATCATAATGGAGCTGATAAATTCCTATCACCTAGTAACAAACATCATAACATTGTCATGAAATACATTACTCACACGCTCACATGGATGCCGTGTGAGTCAACCTACCATGATGCCAGCCCTATGAAAGTATAGCAGAGGCGGCCGGCAGGTGGCATGGTAGATGAGGGAGGGTGCTGGACTCCCACATGGCCAATTGTGGTTCAAGTCCGGGACCTGGTGGCTGGCTTTCTCATTTTTCCTCTCTCTTTTTCTCCATCTCTCTCGGATCAAACTTGAAAATAATAATAATAATAAATAAAGTTATATAAAATAATTCTTCCAAAATAAAAAAAGTATAGCAGGTACGGGCCAACAGATGGTGTGGAGGTTAAGGGGTTTCTTCTCCATTCTCCTCTTGGAATTTTGGGTACACGCATCCGGTGGGTTTTTTAAGCCGCCAGGTCTGGGACTTGAACTGTACAGATGGCTTTGTGGGATCCAGCCACCTTAAACACTGTGCCTCTGACTGGTCCAGTTTTTAACAAAAAAGTTATTAAAAAATAGTTTCAGTTTAAAAATGGAACAAAGTGGGCCAGCCAATGGCATGATGGTTAAGGTGGCTGGACCCTACATGGCTGGCTGCGTAGTTCGAGTCCCAGACCGGCAGCTTCAAAAACACACTGGGCATGTTCGTGTGCATGCCAAATCCCAAGAGAATGGAAGACAAAGGACTGTGATGGCCACCCCCTTAGCCCCCCAGGGGGTGATTTCTTACTCTCCCTCTCTCTGGCAGGCACACAGACTCTATAGCAAACTGAAAGAAAGAAAGAAACTGAACAGAATCAGGCTGTGAAGTATTTTTGTTATCGCTGCACTATGTGTTTGTGTTTCAAGCATTATTGCAAGAATCAAAAGTTAACAAAGCTTCAAAGTTTATCAAGTAAAAAAGTTATAGTAAGCTAAGGTTAGTTTTTTTAAAAGAATTATTTCATGTAACTGTACTTATTTAGTTAGTTTTTAAAATTTGACCAGAGAGGGACAGAGAGAGAGAGAAAGAGAGGGGGAAAGTGAGAAAGCAAGCCACCAGGTCTGGGATCCAAAGTCAGCCATGTGGGAGTCTGGTGCCATTAACTACCATGCCACCTGCTGACCCCTAAGGTTAATTATTGAAGAAGGAAATTATAAAAATCCATTTAGTGTAGTCTAAGTGTACAGCATCGATGAAGTCAGCAGGGCTGTGCAGAACTTTCTAGGCCTTCACACTCCCTCCCTCCCCCAGAGCAACTTCAGGTCCTGCCATCTCCACTCACAGTAAACTTCCCGTACAGATGTACTGCTTTTATCTCCTATATCCTGTTTCCCGTCCCTCTTCCGTGTTGAGCTGTGTTTGCACACGAGTGTTGACCACAGTCAGTTACGGTGCTCGGCACGGTAACGCTGTCCAGGTGAGTCGTCGGCTCAGCCACCTGGGTCTGTGCACGGGCACTCTGTGATGTTCCCACGATGACGAGATCGCCCAGCAACTCATTTTTCGGAATTTGTCCCTATCATCAAGCAATGCATGATTGCACAGACAGGAGACAGAGTGAGGAGAAGTGGAGAGACGAGGACACAGAGGAGGGAACAGGCCAGTGCAGTGACAGGGACGAGAGTCTAGAAGAGAGGCTGGAGACCTACAACTGGGAGCCTTTAGGTCAGGTGGTTAAGAGGGTGGTGGCTCCTACCGTGCCTTGGCGTAGCTCAGGCTCCTCTCGTCGCTCAGGTACAAGACTTCTGTCCTTCTCCAGCCCGGGTCCATGGGGACAGACAGGGCTGGGTCGGGCATTGAGGCCTGGACCACGGCTCCCACAGGAGAAGGGGCTGGCCCAGGGACTGGTGGCCGGGCCCACAGTGGGACAGTGGGAGGGGCTGAGAAGGAGGTCTGAGGCAGGGTCAGAATCAGACTTGGGGATGAGCTGCCAAAGGGGACTGAGGTGGGTACAGAGGTGAGGATCCTCGAGGACTTCCGGGCTGTCAGGGTCCTGGCCTTCAGGGCTCTCCGGTGGGTGGCCTCTTCCTCCTCTACCTCCAGCAAGCACTTCATGAAGCCCTGTGGGAGGTTCCTGAGGTTCTGGGCCCCTGTAGTCACCGTGGGCTCCAGAGGCTGCTTCTGCACACAGTCTAGCTCCCTCCTCTCTCCAATGTCCCTTACCATGCTGGGAACAAGAGAGGGGGTCTGGGAGGTCTCCAGCCAGCCAGACTGTCCCATGAAGCTTCTCCTGGCCACCCACTCTGAGGATCCTCACACTGTCCTTTCTTCTCCGAACTCCTGGAGGATGCGCCCCAAATCTCACTCACCCTGCTAGGCTCCTACCCGCGTCCTCCCCATGCCTGACCTCCACCTCCCAGCTTGTGAACTGTGGCCTTAGTGAGTCACTCTGGTCCTGCCTCCTGGTTTCTTTCTCTCATCGCCGCAGCACAACCTGAGCTTGTTCGTGTTCCTTGTCTGCCTGCCTGCCCAGAAGGTATGCGTCATGAGGGCAGAACTTTGCCTCCTTTTTATTATTATTATTATTTTTTAATTATGTTATTGGGGCTGGCAGGTGGTGCAGTGGTTAAGGATGCTGGACTCCCACATGGTCGACCATGGTTCAAGTCCTAGACCTAGCAGCTTGCTTTCTCACTTTCTCTCTCTCTGTCCCTCTCTGGTCAATTAAAGTAAGCAAATAAATAAAGTTAAATAACATTTTTTAAAAGAAAGAATTATGTTATTTAACTTTATTTATTTATTTACTTATTTTAATTTGACCAGAGAAGATCAGAGTGGTGGGGATAGTGAGAAAGCAAGCCAGCAGGTCCAAGACTTGAACTGTGGTCATTGATGTGGGAGTTCAGCACCCTTAACTACCATGCCACTTGCCAGCCCCAGGACTTTGCCTCTTTATCCACATATACCCAGAAATTAGCACCTGGTGGGGCCCTCAATGAATTCCTCCTCTTGTACTCAGCATACCCAGCCCCTTCCTACACCTGTTCCCTCTCCGACCAGGCCAGACCATACCATGCTGGCTGCAGCCCAGCCCTTTCTCCAAGTCAGAGATGCTGCTCTTGTCACCCCCTCTCTCTCCCTCAAGTGTCATCCATTCTTCCTCCACAAGATTACTCCCATCACCATGTAAATATATTCCTTTCCTTTTTTTGTTTTGGAGAGGTTTTCGCTATAGGGTACATGCACTCACCAGAAAGACAGAGAGAGACAGAGAGACAGAAAGCGAGAAATCACCCCCCAGGGGGGATGGCCACGCCGCAATCCCTTCTCTTCCATTCTCCTCTCAGGATCTTAGGCACGCATGCACGTGTGCCCGGCATGAGTTTAAGCCACTGGATCCAGGACTCGAACTGCGGTCAACTACATGGGAGTCCAGCTACATAGTGATTACACCAACTGCTGATCCCATAGTCCACTACATGGGAGTCCAGCTACATAGCGATTACACCAACTGACAATCCCATAGTCCCTTCTTTTTCTAAGAGAGATTTTTTTTTTTGCTTCAGGAAACGCGCACTCATCGGAGAGACAAAGAGACAGAAAGGCTCCCCCAGGGGAATGGCCATGCTGCAATCCCTTCTCCATTTTCCTCTCAGGATCTTGGGCACATGTGCACGTACAGCCCAATGTGAATTTTAAGCCGCAGGGTCCAGGACTTGAACCATGGTCAGCTGTGGGGGGGCCCTGTGCCATCTGCTGGTCCCAATATATTCCCTTCTTAAAAACAAAACAAAACAAAACAAAAACAAAAAATGACGGGGGCAGTGGGTGGCGTAGTGGTTAAAAGCACTGGACTCTCACATGGCTGATTGCAGTTCGAGTCCCAGACCTGGTAGCTTGCTTTCTTACTCTCCCTCTCTCTGTCTCATTGGCCAAATTTTAAAAAAATAATAAATAAAGTTAAATACAATGATTCTTTAAAAAAATTTTTAGAATTATCGTATTTAATTTTATTTATTATTATTATGTTTTAATTTGACCAATGAGAGAGAGAGGGAAAGTGAGAAAGCAAGCCACTGGGTCTGAGATTTGAACTGCAGTCAGCCATGTGGGAGTCTAGCACCTTAACCACCATCCCATCTGCTGGCCTAATAAAATGATTCTTTAAAAAAAAAAAAAAAAAACACCAAACTCTCCTGACCCTATAAACTCCTTTCTAGCTCCACTCTAGTTCTCTGGTTCTCTTTAATAGCAAAATTCCTTAAACAGGTTGTCTGTCTTGCATGCCCACTTCCTCACCTCTACATCAGGCTCCTGGCCCTCACTCCCCTCTGGGAAGCTGCTCCTGCTGAGGCTGGCCATGGTCAGGGCCCTTCCTCCACCTGAGTCGGCTCCTTGGCGTGGCAGCAATCCACCCCGAGGACCGCTCTGTCCGGGTGGGAACACTTTCTTCTCGAGACTCCCACGGCCTTACTGGCACTCTTCCTTGGTGCCCTTCACTGGCTGCCCCTCACTCTCGCTCCATTTCTGAATGTGGCTGAGACCCAGGAGCCTGTCCTCAGGCTTCTTCCTGCTCTGTCTTCATTCCCTAGCCGTCATCTTCCCACCTGTCACTCCATCACGCTCACATCTCTGTTTTGTGCTTCTAGTGCTGGATGTCCTCCAAGACACCTTTTTGGGTGTTCAAGACCAAACCTACATTCTTCCCACCTCCACTAATGACACCCCGGCACTCGGGCCCCAGACCTAGGGTTCTCTTTTTCTTTTGTGAAGTTTTTGTTTTATTGTGGTAAAATACACATCACAGTAAATTTACCATCATAACCATCTAAAGTGTACAGTTCAGGGGTATTTGCATTCGTGGAGCTGGCCAGGGCATGGTGGTTAGGGCTCTGAACTCCCACACAACTGACTGTGGTTCAAGTCTTGGACCTGGTGGCTTGCTTTTTCACTTTTCCTCTCTTTCTCTAGTGAGCACACATGTCCTATAGCAAAGTGTATAAAATAATAAATTTAAATAAATAATTCTAAAAAAAGAAAAAAAAATACCTTCACAATGTGCAATTATCATACCATCCATCTCCAGAGCTCTTTTGTCTTGTAAAACTGAAACTCTGAGAACCAGCAGATGGCGGCGTAGCAGTTACATTGCTGGTCTCCCACATGGCTGACCACGGTTCAAGTCCTGAACCCAGTGACTTCAAACTCACACAGGTGCGTATGTGTGCATGCCCAAGATCCTGGGAGGATAATGGAGGAGAAGGGATTGCGGTGGTCACGTCACCCCCCCACCAGAGGATAATAATAACAACGATAACTGGACAGAAAGAAGGTACAAAGGTTAGTTCTTCGAGTCCCAGAATATCAAGCTAAAAAGGCCCCCTGAAGTTTTAAAAGGCTGTTTTAACAAATATTGCTTTGTCAGGAAGTGACAAACTTACATCACTCCTAGTACCAAGAGAGAAAATGTCAAGAGTAGGGGCCAGTAGGTGATGTGTTGGTTAAGGCACTGGACTCCCACATGACCAACCATGGTTCAAGTCTTGGACCTGGTGGTTTGCTTTCTCACTTTCCTTCTCACTGTCTCTCTCACTCTCTCTCTTTCTCCAGTGAGTGCATGTGTCCTAAGGCAGAAACCTCTGGAAAAAAAAAAAATGAAAACTCTGTGCCATTAAACAATGATCTCCCTTTACCCCTTCCCTAACCCTTGGCAATCGTCACCCCACTAATACTATCTCATCTGTGCTTTTGACTATTCTAAGTATCTAAGTAGAGTCACTTTGCCTTTGTGTGACTAGCTTTTATTATTATTATTATTTTTTTTTGCGGGGGGAGGTTTTTGCTATAGGGCGCATGCGTTTGCCAGAAAGACAGAGACAGAGAGACAGAAAGCGAGAGATGAGCCCCCAGGGGGGATGGCCACGCCACAATCCCTTCTCCTTCATTCTCCTCTCAGGATCTTGAGCACACACGCACACGCGCCTGGCATGAGTTTAAGACACTGGGTCCGGGATTCGAACTGTGGTCAACTACATGGGAGTCCAGCAACATAGCCATTACACGCCAACTGCTAGCTGGGAGTTGGTAACCAGCACGTAGGAACCTGCTACACATGGCGGAAGGCTTAGATCATGGCCAACTGAGCTTCCCAGCAGCCGTCCCGACTAGCTTACTTCATTTAGCATAATGGTCTCATGGTTCGTCCATGTGTTGGAATTTCCTTCCTTTGTAAGGCTGAATAATATTTGCTTTTACGCATGTACCATATTTTGATTATTCATTCATCCATTGATGGACACTTGGGTTGTTTCAGCAATGCCCTGAGGGAGGGAGGGACTGGCTGGGACAGTCCAGGCTCTGTTTCAGTCCCCACTAGAAACGGGATGTCTTTCAATGCTTTAGGCCAGCAAATCGCATGACTCTGGGGTATAAAATCCAGGGTGGGCTGCTTTCTGGGGTCTTTCAGCAAGTGGGTTACATGCCCATGAGACTCCATTTGCCAGGCAGCTTTCCTGAGTCTTTGGGAACTCCTAGGCATCTGTTGTCTCTTGCTATAATAAACCCACTTTGTGTCACTTGAGTATGTAGCACGTTGCCTCTCTGGACTCAGACAAGTTGGTAACCAGCACGCGTGAACCTGCTACACATGGTGGAAGGGTTCGATCCTGGCCAGCCGAGCTTCCCAGCAGCCGTCCACCCTATCCAACACTCTTGCCCCTTGTCGCCCCTCGCTCCATGTTCATTCCCACCTCTGTACCTGTGCCCGTGCAGGCTGCCTGAGCAGCCTTTCCACTCCCTGGCTCTGTCCATCTCCCATCCCCCCACATGGCCTTTTATCAGACCTCTCTTTCCAGAAAGGCTGCCTGATCTCGTCAAGGCTCCTTCCCTGCAATGTTTCTTGTTTTTGGAGGGGGAGGGTTGTTTTTTTTTTTCTTTTTAAGAGAGGTTTTTGCTATAGGGCGCATGCGCTTGACGGAGGGACAGAGACAGAAAGTGAAAAATCACCCCCTGGGGAAATGGACATGTCACGATCCTTTCTCCTCCATTCTCCTCTTGGAATTTTGGGCACAGACGCACACACACACACCAGGTATGAGTTTCTTTAAGCCACCAGGTCTGGGACTCAAACCGTGGTCGACTACATGAGAGCCCACCAACATGATCATCATGTCATCTCCTGGTCCCTCCCGGCTACATTTCTTGACATTTCTCTCGTCTTGCTGGTCTCACCAGCCCAGCCACAGTCCTCGGGGTGCAGCTCCTTCTTTTCCCCCCCTGCCAATAGCCACTCGGCACGTTATTTATGGAATCAAGTCGTGCCCTCATCTGTCCTCCCTTACAGTGTCCACCCTGCCCAGGCTGCACAGCTGACAGGGAGAAGGAGGAAATGCACAGGCGAGGAACGTGTCCTATTGCTCATCTGACTTTTCAGCAGTCCATGATCTCGTACTTTGTATTATTCTCCTGCACTCATTGATTGGACAAATTCTTACTGCTGGATATTTAGACATACAGCATAAAGCAGTGAGTAGCGTAGAGTGGCTGTCCTCATAGAGTACATGTTCTAGGTAAGACAGATTTTCCAATGAACAGGATGACCTCAGACAGAGGAACTACTACAAAGATAATGAAGGGGGCAGTGTGATAGGGTACCTGTGGCTGACAGGCTCCTGGAGATCGGGCACCTAGGGAAGGCATTGCTGAGGAGGTGACACTTAAGCTGAGACCTGACTAGCTTCATGGAGTCGGTCCTGAGAACCTCTGTGGGAAGAATTTCAGGCACAAGGACTGGCATGTGCAAAGGCCCTGAGGTGGGAAAACTGGCCTATTTGAGGGATGACTATTAGACCAGATGGGTAGACATATGGCCATATGGGTCTTGGTGAAGATTTTGCATCTTATTATAAGGACAAGGGTTGGACCAGCGCAGTTGTGAGGGAGTGGAAGGAAAGAATAGATTCGGGTTTTGTTTAGTAGGTAGTGCAGGCAGGGCTTGCTGGGGCACGGGGTGTGAAGGAATTGCAGTGGGAAAAAAAGGAATCCAGTGTGACTGTGAGCTGGTTGCTAGGAGCCCTGGGTGGAAGGCGTCATTTGTTGAGATGAGGAAGATCAGCAAAGGTCCAGGTTTGAGATGGGAAGTCACATGTTCTTCCCTGGTCATGTTCAGTTTCAGTGTCAGAAGCAAATTAACAGACCAGCAGTTGGCATAGTGGCTGTGTTGCTGGACTTCCATGTAGCTGACCGCGGTTGGAGTCCTGGACCTGGTAGCTTAAACTCACCCTGGGCGCGTGTATGTGCGTGCCCAAGATCCCGAGAGGAGAATGGAGAAGGGATTATGGTGTGGCCATCCCGCTCGGGGAGTGATTTCTTGCTTTCTGTCTCTCTGTCTCTGTCTTTCTGGTGAGTGCACGTGCCCTATAGCAAAAACTTCTCAAAAAAAAAAAAGAAGAAGAAGAAAAGAAGAAAAGAAATGAATTAACCACACAAGTGGAATTCAGTTAGGCAGCTGAATAGATGATCCTGGATTTTTTTAAAAGAGGTTTTTGCCTGAGGGTGCATATGGTCACTGGAGAGAAAGACAGAGATAATGAGAGGGAAAGTGAGAAATCACTTCCCAGGGTGGATGGTCACACTGCAATCCCTTCTCCCCCTTTCTTCTTCGGGGATCTTGGGCAAGTACGCATGCACACATACACACACACACACACACACACACCCAGCATGATTTTCAAGCCACCAGGTCTGGGACTTGAACTATGGTAAGCGATGTGGGAGTCCAGCAATGTAACTGCTATGCCATCTGTTGGACCCTGAGCCTGGACTTTAAAGGCAAGGTCTGGGGACCAGAAGATGGCATAATAGTTAAGTTGCTGGACTCCCATATGGCTGACCATGGTTCAAGTCCTAGACCCAGAGGCTTGAAACTCATGTGGGTGTGTGTGCATGCGTGCCCAAAATCCTGAGAGAAGAGATTGCAGTGTGGCCATCCCTTCCTGGGGGGTGATTTCTTGCTCTCTGTCTCTTCAGTGAGTACATTGCCCTATAGCAAAAATCTCTTTAAATGAATGAATGAAGGCAAGGTACAGCCTGGAGATACGGATTTGGAATCATCAGAAAGACCAAATAAAGTCACCCAGGGAGACAGTGGAGATGGAAGGTGAGATGAGAGGGTGGAGCCCTGAGAGCAGAGATGGTGAGGAATCGGAATTAAACTGGGAAGGAGCCTCCAGTGGCACGGGAGGGGACAGGACGGGCTGTCCTGCAGCCGGGAGAAGGTGGTACTGAGGAGGAGGAGCCACTGACCGAATGCGACTGCTTGAGGTGGGTTCTGTAAGGATAGATTCAGCAAGGTGGAGATTCGAGAGCCCGCAATAAGAGGTTTCATACTGGGACAGGTCGAAGAAGACAAGTGAGTGGGGTGAGTGAGGGCGGACAGCTCTTGAGGGACTGTGTGGTAAAGAGAGGAGGATTGTGACTAGAGGGGAGCGTGGGCCCAGGGAGGGGCTGGTGTTTGGTTCCATTTGTGTGCAAATGGAGAATGGTCTTGCAGAAAAGGGAGGATAGGGCCAGCTAGTGCTGTGGTGATTAAGGCAGCTGGATCCCGGAGCTAGCAGGTGGCGTTGAGAGTGCTGGACTCCCACATGGCTGACCACGGTTCGAGTCCTGGACCTGGTGGCTTGCTTTCTCACTTTCCCTCTCTCTGTCACTCTGACCAAAATAAAATAAATAAATAAATAAAAAGAAGTTAGACTTGTCAACAAAATCTAAGTGTATATATATATAAAAGGCAGCTGGATTCCACACAGCCGACTACATGGTTCGAACCCTGGACCTGGTGGCTCGAAAAGCACACTAGGAGCATGTGCATGCGTGCCCCAAATCCCTACTGGAGAATGGAGAGAAGGGATTGCAGAGTGGCCATCCCTCCTGGGGAGGTGGTTTCTCCCTCTCTCTCTCTCTCTCTCTCTCTCTCTCTCTCTCTCTCTCTCTCTCTCTCTCTCTCTCTCTCTCTCTCTCTCTCCAGTAAATACATGTGTCCTCTAGCAAATTTTTAAAAAAGAAAAGGGAGGATTACTCAAGTGTGTGTGTGTGTGTGTGTGTGTGTGTGTGTGTGTGTGTGTGTAGGTGGGAATGGGATCTAGTGAACAGGGAATGGATCTACAGCAGGAGGTGGGGCAGGGACCTGTCTCCACAGTTTCCTCTGTAACCAAATGAAGGCAGAAAGGGGGTGGACTTGGAGGAGATGAGGTGAAGGCCCTGGAGGAAGCATGGTGAAAGGACACCCCGGAGCACCAGAGAGGGGCGTGGCCAGGGGACAGTGGAGCTGTACAGGGAGCACTGGTAAGGAGCGGCTTGCGGAACGGAAAGCCCATTCACAAGAGTTTCTCCAACCATGTTGAGCTGCTCAGGTTCAGGGTGCCTGGCTGGTTGCATTTAGCCATGATGGCTTTTGACAGTGAATATAGCAGAGACAGAGGCTCTTTTTTTTTTTTTTTAAAGAGGTTTTGCCTTAAGGCATATGCAGTTGCCTGAGACAGACAGAAGGAAATCACCCCCATCACCCGCAGGGGGATTGCCATGCTGCAATCCCTTCTCTCCCACTCTCCTCCTGAGATCTTGGGCACTCACACACATGTGCCCAGTGTGAGTTTCAAGCCACTGGGTCTGGGACTCAAACTGCGATCAGCCATGTGGGAGTCCAGCGACCTAACCGCTACACCATCTGCTGGCAAAAGGCTCATATTGGCAAAGGCAAGAAGAGGGCTGACTGCAGGCTGCCGGGTCAAGTCCAAGGACTAGAGACAGTTAGGCGGTGGCAGGGTGGCAGGGTGGTAGGGTGGCAGGGTGGGGGTGGCTGGAAAGGGTGGGGAAGATCTGGAGTGTGTGGCTGCACCTGTGGGCAAATGCGTGGAGGAAACCCCTGCTGATGTGGAATAAGCCTCTACCTAGGGTGAGCCTAGGGGCTCCAGAGTGTAAGAGCACCCTCGACCCCCATCCCACACATACACACATGCACACGTGCAAGCACTCACACACGTATGCACAGACACGCACACACATGGGCATGCACTCCCACTTTCCCCAGTGTGCCTCCATGCACCATCCCATTTCTGCCTCTGCCCTCTTCCTCCTGATCCCCCCTCACCACACATCCCTTCTCCATCTGCACGGTGTCCCTACTTACTGGCGGAGGAGAAGGCCTTGATGCTGGCTGGGTGTCCATGGCCTCACTCCTAAATAGGGAAGAAACCTCCGGTGGGGGAGGGCTCAGCTCAGGGCTTACCCCTCGCACCTACCTGTCAGCCCCCGGGACACTTAGTTCCACCCCAGCCTCATCTCTGACGGTGCCCTCACACCTCCAGTGTCCAAGAGCATCACATATACCACAGAACAGTGAATTCTGTTATTAGAGCTATGCCACAGTGGGGGAAACTGAGGCCCAGAGGGGTATGACGTGTCTAAGGTTCAAGATCAGGAGCCCTCAGGACTAGAACTCACTGCACCTGGCAGGGAGCAGGGCAGGGAAGGCACTGGAGGATGGCATACCTTTCTCTGGGCGTTTTAGACCTTGATGTGGATGGCAGGAAGGAGCTGGCCGTCTTTTCCTCTGGAGTCACCACAGGTGTCAGGGGCATTTGTTCCTGGGCGCTGTCCTCTTCCTGTTCCCCTGAGCCAGGTTCCAGCAGAGCCCCCTGCAGCCTGATGTGTGGGCTGCCTGCCTCGTTGGGAGCCTCGCCTACCAGTGGGTGTCCACAGCCGTCCAGGGTGCAAGGAAGCTCTGTGGGCTGCACCGTGTCTGACCCATTTGCTGCCTGGTGACCTGGGGGGGACTGATACTTTGGGCCCTGCCGAGGACAAGGGTAAGGATGGTTGCCAGGTGGACTTCCACCCGGTCCTAGAGACTAGTCACCACACGCTTAAGACGGCCCAGGCTCTGCAGGCATCTTACTGAGTTCTCCCGGCGGCCCTGGAAGGCAGCACAAGTATTCCCATATTCTGAAGGATGAAAAATTGAGACCCAGAGAAAGTATGGCCTACCTCCATGCTTCTCTGTGGAAAGGGGAGCCTGGAGAAGTGAGAAGATCCCCTTTAAATGGGATTTCCCAAGGGATGCTTCAAAGACTAAGAATCCTTCATGGTGTTCTTTTTTGTTGTTTTTTTGGAGAGGTTTTTGCCATAGGGTGTGTGCACTTGCCAGACAGACAGAGACAGAGAGACAGAAAGCAAGAAATCAACCCCCAGGGGGGATGGCTACACTGCAATCCCTTCTCCTCCATTCTCCTCTCGGAATCTTGGGCATGCATGCACACGTGCCCGGCATGAGTTTTAAGCCACCGGGTCCGGGACTCAAACTGCAGTCGACTACATGGGAGTCCAACGACGTAGCCATTATGCTAACTGCTGGCCCTTAATTTTCTTTTTTTTTTAAGCTTTGCTATAGTGTATGTGTGCTCACCCCCAGGGGGGATGGCCGTGCTGCAATCCTTTCTCTTCCATTCTCCTCTTGGAACTTTGGGTATGCATGCACACACATGTGTCTCTTAAGTCGCCAAGTCTGGGACTCGAACCATACAGTCGGTCATGTGGGATCCAGTGACTGCAACCTTTATGCCACCTACTGGGCCATGGCCTAACTTTTTCAAAAAGTTTATTCAGGGACCAGCAGATGGCATAATGATTACATCACTGGACTTTCATGAAGTCAAACACGGTTCAAGTCCCAGACCCAGGGGCTTAAATCATGCTGGGTGTGTGTGCATACATGCCCAAAATCCCGAGAAGAGAATGGAGGAGAAATGAAATATATCCACAGGGATGTTCACTGAAATGTTTAAAAGAGGTTTTTGCCTTAGGGTACATATGCTCAATAGAGAGAGAAAGAGAGACAGAGAAAGTGAGAAATCACCCCCTGGGGGGATGGTCACATTGAAGTCCCTTTTTCATTCTTTTCCTGAGATCTTGGATGCACACACACCTGGTGTGAGGGTTTTTTTTTTTTTTTTTTAAGTGGTTTTTGCCTTAGGGTGCTTGCCAGAGAGAGAGGGGCAGAGATAGTGAGAGGGAAAGTGAGAAATCACCCCTCAGGGGGATGGCCATGCCACAGTCCCTTCTCCTCCATTCTCTTCCCAGGATCTTGAGCACACACGCACATGCACCTGGCATGAATTTCAAGCCACTGGCTCTGGAGCTCGAACCCTGATCTGCCATGTAGGGGTTCAGGGACATAACCACTACACCATCTGCTAGCTCCTGTTAACTGAAGTTTTATTTGTAATAGTTGAAAACTGGGAACAGCCCAAATATCCATCAATAAGTGAATGGATCAAGAAATTGTGGTATATTGGGGCCAGCAGGTGGCATGGTGGTTACAGCACTGGGTTCCCACATGACTGACCACAGTTCAAATTCCAGATCTGGCAGCTTCAAAACCACGCCAGGCACGTGTGCAAGCATGCCCAAAGTCCCAGGAGGAGAATGAAGGAGAGATTGCGGTGCGGCCACCCCCCTTGAGGGGTGATTTCTCACTTTCTCTCTTACTGTCTCTCTATGGGGAGCACATGCACCCTATGGCTAAAACCTTAAAAAAAAAAAAAAAAAAAGGGAAGGAACTGTGGTATATCCACACAATGGGATATTTTTTAGAAGAATTTTTAAAATAATTATTTTATTTTATTTATTCGTTCATTTATTTTTTAATTTGACCAGAGAGAGACAGACGTTGAGAGTGAGAGAGAGAGGAAGCGAGAAAGCAAGCCACCAGATTCAGGACTCGAACCCTGGTCAGCCATGTGGGAGTGTCCAGCGCCTTAACCACCACACCAGCTGCTGGTCCCACAATGGGATATTAATGAGTGATAAAAAGGATAATAGCTGATCCATACAATAGCATAGATGAATCTCAAAATAATCATGCTGAGTGAAAGAAGCCAGGTAGAAATCATATATACTGTATAATTTTGTTTATGTAGAATTCCAGGAGAAACGAACTGATCTATACCGATGGTCAGTGGCTGCCAGGAGATGGGGGCCCATCTGAGGAGGGAGGAGGACATGCTGGGAGTGAGGGACCTGTGTTTTCTCGGTTGTGGTGATGGTTCCGAGGGTGTGTACATATTACAACACGTCAGACTGTACCCTTGACCTCTGTGCAAGTGCATGCCAGTTATACCTCAGCGAAGTTTCTGGGTTGTTGGCAAAGTCATGATGCATTTTTGCGTAAAAAACAGAAAAACACTTTTTTTTTTTTTTTGAGAGGTTTTTGCTAGAGGGCACGTGCGCTCGCCAGACAGAGAGAGACATTCTCCTCTCCGATCTTGGGCACGCACACACATGCGCCCGGTGTAAGTTTTAAGCCACTGGGTCCGGGACTTGAACCGTGATCAACTACATAGGAGTCCAGCGACATAGCCATTACGCTAACTGCTGGTCCTGGAAAACAGAAAAATACTTCATGACTTTCCCGACGACCCGGTATTAAATACTGCTAGTGGCACAGCAATAGTGCAGTGCTCCATGATGCGGAACCGCACGGAAGGGCCCAGGTTCTTGTCCTTGCTTTCATGAGAGCGCGCAAACAAGACAAGTGCTCCTGAAAGGGTCTCACGCCACCATCCACTCCCAGCCTTCTTGGATCACAAGTCACATGCCCAATGTTAGAGATCAACCAGGGACCCAAGTCTGCAACCTTCCTCCACTGAGCCAACCCTCTTTCAGCTTTTAAAAACCCAGCATGTCCCAATTTTATCTGGATACAAAACCTCACACCTCCTACCTGCTCTGAACCCGTTGACATATCGAGGGCCCATTCTGGAAACAAGACGTAAATGGTGCCTGCTCGAGGACTACCGCAGTGATCCACACAGGCTGGGTGCCCACCTGTCCAGTGCAGAGGGAGCAAACTCACGTGTACCAGGACAGGGGGGAACGGGAGGCTCCCGAGCCTCCTCTGTGGGTTGGTCTTTCCATTCCTGTCTGTCTGGATGGGTTACCTGGCAGCTCTTGGGTGGCTGACCCTCTGCAGTCCCTGGGTTCTGCTGCCTCCTCTGCTGGTCCTCGGCCCCTTTTCCTGGCTGCTGTAGCCTTTCGGGTGCTGCAGGAACCCTGGAAGACAGCAACTCCAACTCACTCTCTGGCTTGGCCTGATCCTGGCCTGCTGGCAGCTTCCCAGGCTCTCCTTGAGAGGCCCAAGATGACTGCCTCTTACTGGGCAAAACAAAGGGACACCTCAGCTCCTGGTCTGGGCACTGTATTATATTTCCTACAGGGCTAGGTGCACAGGAGGTATATACTTAATACCTGGGAAAATGAACAACAAACATGAATTTCGCAAGTCGCAGACATTGTCTAAGCTCATTTTAATATTCTGGAATTCTGCAATAGTTCTTCCAGGCTTATTCTTATATATATGTTTTATATATGTGTGTGTGTGTTAAATATATATGTAATATATATTATATATGTATATATAGTACATATATTACTCTACATGATATATTCTATATATGTTATATATTTTATATATGCATAATATATAGAACACACATATGTATACATATGTATGTGTATATATATAAAATATATGTGTGTGTGTGTATACATATTTGTTTGTTTGCCAGGGAGATATGTGTGCTTGCTGGAGAGAGAGAGAAGGAAAATGAGAAATCACCCCTCCTGGGGCGAATGAGCACATTGCATTCCCTTCTCCTCCACTCTCCTCTCAGGGTTCTGGACATATATGCACATGTACCCAGAGACTTTTTTAAGTCTGGATCCAGGACTTGAACTGCACAATCGGACATGTGGAATCCCGTGTCAAGTGCTGGCTTCTTATGTATGTATGTGTATATATATTTAGATTAATATCTATAGATGGTCATCAGAAAAGTCATGACATATTTTTCTATGCAAAAATGAGTCATGACTTTTCCAATGACCCAATTTTTTATTTATTTTATTTTATTTTATTTTTTTTGCCATAGGGCACATGTGCTTGCTGGAAAGAGACAGAAAGTGAGAAATCACCCCCCAGGGGGGATGGTCACACTCGTCCCTTCTCCATTCTCCTCCTGAAATTTTGAGCACACACACACACATGCCTGGCATGATTGTCAAGTTGTCAGTTCCAGGACTTGAACTGCAGTCATTCATGTGAGAATTCAGCACCTTAAACACCATGCTACCTGCTAGCCACCCTTTGCATATTTCATGGGGATTTATTTCATTGTTCTTCATATAACTGCATATTCTTTTTTTTTAGAAAGAGATTTTTGCTATCAGGCATGTGTGGTCTCCAGAGAGACAGAGAGACAGAAAGCAAGAAATCACTGCTCAGGGGCAATGACTACACCACAATCCTTTCTCCTCCATTGTCCTCTTGGGATTTTAGGCACATACACACACGTGCCTGGCATGAGTTTTAAGCTGTCAGGTCTGGGATTCAAACTGCAGTTGACTAGGTGGGAGCCCAGCAATGTAACCATTACACCACCTGCTGGTCCCCATATTTTTACATTGTTATTGTATATACAATTCTGTAATCTACTTTTTTTCAAATATTATAGCTTAATTTTTCCCATGCTAGAAATCCTTCATTAATATGCTTCTTAATAAAAACATAAAGTTCCATATTTATAGGTAGCTATAATTAATCATTTCTCTATTGTATAGGCATTTAGGATTTCCTATTTAAAATGTGACAGTGAGAAGCTTTGTATGCAAAACATTGACTGAATGACCAATTGTTTCTGTCAGGCATATTTTAAAGAAATAGATGATGTTAAAGACAGTTTTAAGGCAGTCTAAAGGACTTGCCAGGTTGATGAAACAGATATGTTGAAATGTTTCTATTTCCACTTGTCTCAGGGAGGCTCAAACGTGGATGTGGTCTCATGTAGAAGGTTAATTTTCACACAGAGCAGGGTATTTGGGAGGTCAGGGTTCTAACCAGATGTAAACGATAAGCCAGCTACTCTTTACTGTTCCTATCACCCACGTCTTTCATTTTGCTCTCTTTGGCACTCTCTTGATTTTCGTTTTTTAGAAAAAAATACATTCTAGGGACCAGCAGGTGGTGTGGTGGTTAAGGCACTGGACACTCCCACATGGCAGACCATGGTTTGAGTCCTGGACCTGGTGGCTTGCTATCTCACTGTCCCTCTCTCTCTCTGGTCAAATTAATAAAAAAAAGGAATGAATAAATAAAATTAAATAAATAATTCTAAAGAAAACATTCTTAACGTAGAAAAGTTTAAAGATACATACATTATTTAGAGAAGAACGACAGTCATATAAAAATCTGTGTGTTTCCCTGTCTCTCAGCCTCTTTTCTGTTCAGCGAATAAATATTCTTTTGAGCATTTATGATACGCCAGGCATACTACCAGGCATGAGAGCTTTGAGGCTGAGAAGACATCAGACACGTGAAAGAAGGCTGTAGTTGAGTCTTGGGGCTCAGACAAAAGGCTCGCACAAATAATTACTTAGTGCAATTGTGCTAAGAAAAAGAAATGGTACGGGTGCCACAGCTGGGTGGTTCTGCCTTAGCTTGGGAGTTCTCAATTTTCTCCCTCCTCAAATAGAGCCAGGGGTTCTCTGCTAGACCCGTCCTGGGAAGCCCCCCAGCTCACTCTGACTTCATTGGAGGTCTCTGCTCCTGGGTCCTGAGGTCCGGAGGTCCCTCCTCGTATACTTCTCTGTGTCCGGACTCCTCCTGTGGCCCTCCTGCAGCTGATGAGGGCTGCTTCCCACTGCCCGTTTCTGCAGTATCTGGAAACATGACCTGCAATGGAGATGCCCACGGTGCCTGCTTACGGGCTGCCCTGAATGTCCCTTCTGGAATGAATGCCTGCATCCATCCCTGGGCATCCTTGTGGCTTTGGGGACAGCGAGATCATGCGCCTAACTGAGAAGGCTTTGGAGAGAGAAGGGATGCCAGGAGGCAGGCTGAGAGGGGCTGGTGTGCAGGCCCCCAGCCAGGCGGATGCGGTTGAGAAGTGCAGTAGGCTCTGGTACAAACCTGGAGTCCCGAGTAGTACCTGAGCCAAGGGCATCACCCAAAGATGGCTTGAGAGCTTCCTGGGGCCTTCAGACCTTGACGGGGTCTGAGAGAGGGTCTTCTACAATGTCCATGGCTTCAGAGCTCAGGCTCTGCAATAGGGTTTTGATCTGTCACTCTCCAGTCAGGAGACCTCAAGCTAGTGGCAGACGGAGCTTGAAGCCTCCTTTGAGTCAGCAAACCCCAATTAACCTGACTCGATTGACTAATTGATAATAGTTGTCAAAATAAAAGATTCTGATGCAAGCTAACACCGACTGGCACCTACCGTAAGGCACGGCTTGTGCCAGGTGCCTTCCAGGGATTTAACCCAGTTAGCCCTCACCACAACACACATGAAACAAATGAGGTTCAAAGGGGTGTGGTGACATGTTCAAGGTCATACATGGGGTAAGTGACAGGACTGGGTGCGGTTGTTGAAGTGAAACCCTGGAGTTTCACCCAGGTCTCCCTCCAAAACTCCTCCTCTCCAGGTCCTCCCCCTGCCCTAGGGGAAGCTCCAACTTGGAACATAGGCCATAGGCAGAGGGCAACAGAGAGAGAGAGAAAGCAAAAAGTCCCCATTGGGAGATGGCCATACTGCAGTGTCTTCTCCTTTTGGGATTTTGGGCACACACACACACACACACACACACACACATACACATGTGCCTGGAGTGAGTTTCAAGACACCAGGTCTGGGACTCGAACTGCAGTCAGCCATGTGGGAATCTTAACTACCATGACACCTGCAGGCCCTGAATGTTCCCTTTTTTTTAAAAAAAAATTATTTATTTAATTTAATTTATTATTATTATTTTTAAAATTTTGCTATAGGGCAGAGAGAAGAAAAGTGAGAAAGCACATTGCCAGGTCTGGGACTTGAACCATAGTCAGCCATGTGGGAGTCCAGCACTTTAACCATCATGCCACCTGCTGACCCTGAACATTGACATTTTTATGTTGCTGTCTTGGCCCTGGGAGAATTGGATGGGAGGGAGGGTCTTCTCTGTGCTATGCAGTCCCAGCTACTTGGCACTTGAGTTGAGGCAGGAGAGGCAGCGGGTGGGGGCCAGGAGGAGCTGGAAGCCATGGAAGGCACCTAGCAGAGCGGGTAGGCAGTTCTTGCCTCGCTCACCAGCATTCCTCTCTACTACAGAAGCCAGCATTCTTTCTTTTTGGAGAGGTTTTTGCTATAGGGCGCGTGCGCTCACCAGAAAGACAGAGAGAGACAGAGAGACAGAAAGTGAGAAATCACCCCCAATGGGGGATGGCCATGCCGCAATCCCTTCTCCTCTCGGGATCTTGGGCACACACTCACATGCACCTGGCATGAGTTTAAGCCACCGGGTCCAGGCCTCGAACCACGGTCAGCTACCTGGGAGTTCAGCGACATAGCCATTACGCTAACTGCTGGTCCCGAAGCCAGCGTTCTTTTAGTTGGAATCTGCCCTTCCCTCTTTGGCCTATGGGACTCAGTAGAGCCAACTATCATCTCTGTCTCCACTAACACAAGAGATCCAGGCCACTTCCCCCTGCCATGGTGACTGACTCAGGGATGAGCACGTGACCACAATCTAGGCCAGTGACAGTGATTCCAGAGACTTGCTTCAACTAGTGCAAAGAGGTGCTCTTTCTGTTGGAGATGCTAAAATAGGAAGATGAAGGTCTGGAAAGACCAGGGGATTCCTGACCACCTAGCAGGAAAAGCCTGCCTGAGAGAGAATCCAGCACGACGGAGGGAGGCAGAGCAGAGATACTCATTTAGCACCTTGATCCAGCCATACTGAAGCCTTCTGATGGGCTGGCCAGTTACCCATGCTGATATATCGACTTTTCTGCTTAATCCAGTTGGAGTTGGGTTTGGTGTCCCTGGTAACAGAGTCTTAATGAAAGCAGTGGGGAGGAAGTCTGGGTAGGGGAAGGAAACAGTGGCCGCTGGGAGTGAAGGGGTCAGAATGTGAGTACAGATCCCTACCTGGCTGACTCCTGGTATAGCGGGCTCAACACCAGCCTTCTTCCTGGCAGTCCTCGGGCCAGGGCTTGGCTGGACCCCGGGAGCTGTGGTCCTACCCTCGGTGTCCATTTGGGCATTTCTGGTGTCCATCATGCCAGGGCCCACATAGGCAGAGACAGCTGCGGGGTTCCCACAAGAGAAATCCAGTCAAGGCTCCACCTGGCCCATTAGCTGCCAACTGCCAAAGCAGCCCACGTGGAGCCCACAGGGCAAAGAGCCTGCTCAGGAGGAGAGGCGGGGCCAGGTCTGATGGGGAGGGGCACGCAGCAAATCCAGACTGTGAGCCACACACAATATAGCTACACACATCCCCCTAATTCTCACAATGACCCCGAGAAAAGGGGGCTCTGGGAGGCAGAGACTTGCCCAAGGCACAACACCTAGTAGGTCAAGAGCAGGACTCACGCCTACTTTCCCTATAGAGGCATGTCGTAAAGAGTGTCCTTTGGAATATTGGTCCCTTGAGATGTTCCGCGGAATTCCAAGGCTAAATTCATCTCGGAAATACTGGTTAAACAAAATGGAACAAGCTTTTTTTGGGGACTTCTCAGAGCTTTGAAAATGCTAACGTGTGTTTAGGCCCAGGCATGGGGATATGCACTTCTAAGACACTGTGCTCCACAGGCTGGGGTCATATAGGAGGCCCAGTTCGATTCCCAGTCTAGTCGAAAGGCCACATGCAGTGGGCATGTGTCTGTAAGCCCTGCAACTTGGGAGGCAGGGGGAGGAGGATCATGTCCTGTGGGCAGCACAATGACACCTTATCTGAAAGAGCCTGGCTTGGTGGTACTGCCTGTCATCCCCGCAGGGAGGCTGAGGCAGAAGGACCACAACAGTGAGACCCTGACTTGAGAAACAAATACTAATGTGCATTTTAAAGAGAGCCAAAGAGGGACCAGCAGTTGGCGTAATGGCTGTGTTGCTTAACTCCCATGTAGTCGACTGCGGTTCGAGTCCCGGACCCGGTGGCTTAAACTCACACCCAGAGCATGTGCATGTGTGCCCAAGATCCAAGAGGAGAATGGAGAAGGGGTTGCAGCGTGGCCATCCCCCCTGGGGGGTGATTTCTCACTTTCTGTCTCTGTTTCTCTCTGGCTGTCTGGCAAGCGCACGAGCCCTATAGCGAAAACTTCTTAAAAAAAAAAAGAGAGAGAGAGCCAAAGAAGGTCAGGGCTGCTGTTGTAGAGGGAAACCTCATGTTCCTAGATGCAGCGAAGGAACATCTGTTCATCTGTCTTGGGGATCCCCAGGTCTCCAACAGCAATCTGTAGTTTGCTATAGCATCCTCACTCTACTGTGGCCACGTCCCTCTCCAAAGTCTCTCTTAGCTTCTCTCCTGTCCAACCTCATACTTGGCTCCACCAACTTTCCGCTTCAGTCCAGGCAGACTCCTGCAAGCTGAGTCGCAACCTCCCCTGCCTCTGTGACCCCCTCACTTTCTCCAACACCCTCACCCCATCCTTCCAGCTCCCACCTCTTCTCCGAACTTCCAACCACCAAAGCCCTCTCTCCAGTCAGTGAGCCTTTGAGGCAACATCAATACCACTTCTGTGGGTACATCATGGACCCTTGCTCGCTGCAAACTACTTCCCGGGTGGTAAACCCCAGCCTCCTTGTCCCCCCAGTGACACTGTGTGGCCCTGAAGAACTTACCCTGCAGTGCTTCTTCCACTTTAAACCATGACAGGTGAGTTGACATCCATGGAGGACTTCTATTACTCGGGCACGTTGTGAACAGTATTCTCACAGCCCAGTGAGGTCACTGGATTCAGCTCTGTTTTAAAGATAAAGGAAGGGCCTGGTGGTGGTGTGGTGGTGGTGCAGCTGGATCCACATCGGGGGGGCCTGGGTTCACACCGTGTCCTCACTGAGCATGCTGTTTGTGTGCACGAGTGCGTGTGTGTGCATGTGCATACACACCTATCACTGGGCCACCTGAGACTGGGGATTACTGTAGTACGGGGACTCTGTTGGGAGTGCCTCTCTCTCTGTCTTTCTCTCTCAGGGAGAAATAAACTTTTTCTGTTTTTTTTTTTTGTTTGTTTGTTTTTTTTTTGCTATAGGGCATGTGTGCTCACCAGACAGACAGAGAGAGACAGAGAGAGAGAAAGAAAGCGAGAAATCACCCCC